CTTTTTTTTTTTTTTTTTTTTTTTTTGGTTGTGGTACTGTTTTCGGGTATTGGGATTTTTGGTTTTCTTATGCGGTATTTGTTGTAACCAATTTGTATTTGTTTCGGTTTTATTTTTACTGTTGCATTGCATTGGTGCGGGTGGGATTTTTGGCTTGTGTTCGATTATCCTTTTCCGTTGTTAGTTGATGGATTTACTCTTTTCTCTTTTGTATCTTGTTATTTCTGTTTTAATCCGTATTTTAGTACTTCGCCAAGGTTGTGTCATTGCAAAGGAAGTGAAAACACAAATCTTGAGGCATTTTCATGGAAGATAAGGCGTTTCGTTTTTCATAGAGTAATGAAAATGTATTTGAGTTAGCAGGGATGCGATTGATCTTCTGTTGCTTCAGCAAGATGTGGGAAAGGATATGAGAGTTGATGCTATTATTATATCTGAAATGCAAGCTCTGATCTTGTACTGCTTTATAGCATTCTCACCAAAAAAAAATAATAATAATAATAAATAAAGAAGAAGAAGATAAAATATAAAAAATTTAAAAATATCATGCGGAAGGTTAGAGTAAATTTGGTGTTTTCTTTGTGCATTTTATTTTAGTTTCATGTTGAAGAGGATAATTTTTTTTCTGAAAGAAGGATGTGGATTGATCTTTGTTATGAAAATGAGAAGAGAGAACTTGTGGTTTGTTTTACTGTTTCTTTGTATAGGCTTTCCTATTTCCTGTTTAAGTTTGCAATTTATTTGAAATTTCACTCAAAACATTCACTCGTGGGTAAAGGAGGGTGGTTGTGTTTAAAAAAGTGGATAAAATGTTATATTTAAAGTTTGGGTTGTTAAAATGTTATATTCAATTTTCTGGGTGGTTGGCATTTTATTATCTTGGCAAGCATTTATGCATGTGCTGTAAAATGATCATCTTATGCAATTATCAGTGATTGGTCTTTCGAATCTCACATGTTTTGGCTGCATTTTTCGGTTCATGTTCTTGCTTTGATGAGTCAATGTTAGATACTTGTTTCTTAGTGTTGTATGCAATTCTATCGAGTAAAACATGAACTACATTTTTTTTATGCATTTTAATTTTCATAAGGAAGATGAAGGGTGTTTTAGTTGAAGAATGAAATTTTTCTTCAACTGGAGTGGCATCATACTGGATCGGACTAAGAGCTTTCACTCTGGTTACTTTCTGGTTTATTTAAAAACCCTAGATGTTGGTGCATAAGCATTTATATATTATTTTTGGAAATTTACATACATATAACACAATTTACATATATGTTTACATATCCAAACACCTAAGTTTGATATTTACATTTATAGCACTTTGGTGTCATAAACCTATGCATGGAAATGTGTATTTAAATTTTGAAATTTTGATAATAGTATTTTTGATGTAATATTAAAGATTTTAGTGTTATATATGTAAATATGCATGTTTGTGTGTTAGATATGTAAATACATAAGAATTGTGTGGTATGTATGTATATCCCCCTTCATTTTTCTGTTGCCTCCATGTGCCCTTGCTATCGAAGGTTGCCTTGACATCCTTCTTTTCAATTTCAGATATTTCATTTGGCGTTTTTGCGTCAAACTTCAGTCAAATCTTTTGTAAGCAATTGAATTACATGGAGCACTTCATACATTGGATACCAATGTGTTCAATGGGTTAAAGGATATGGATTATCTCCATGTTATGCTGGGTAAGTAAATGAAAAGTATATATATATTTTAATTACGTGCATTTCTGCTTTGCTTTGACTTGCTGAGCATTTTTGTCTAAATATTAGTATTGGTGCTGTAATTTATCATATTATGTCTTATTATCTTGTATGAATTCAGCAGAACTTGATGAGAAATAGGATTTTGTACCCATCTTTCTTTCCTATCTCTATTAGCTATTATTAGAGGCCAGCTTGTTTAGTTTGACCGGATAGTTTTGCCTAGGAATGATATATCATATGTGCTTTTTTTTTAATAAATAATTGTCCTATTTATCTTTTTTTTTTCTTTTTTGAAAGCTGTGCATATTATTATATGATTATACATTATTATACACAATAGGTTGGAGCACAGCCATGTTTTTATTTTGTATTGCCAGGTTTTACTTTCTGCCTTTTTAATTTAGGTCAAAATAATGATAATTTTTCTTCTTTTCTATGCAGGTTCTCTATACAATTATTTTCTGATTTCCATATTTTTGTTTTGCGGTTTCCAAGAATCAGAATCTCAGAAAACTGCACTTCAACCTAAATCACATGTTCCTGACAAGTTTGTTTTGTCGGATCCTTCTAGTGGTCTTTTTGGCCCTATTGAAATTTCACCTTCTGCAGTCCCAAGGAATCCATATCCTGTTGAACCACTGTCACCAATGTATCCTTCCTTTCCTAGAACTTATGAACCTGTGTTAACTGGGAAGTGCCCTGTGAATTTCTCATCAATTTTAAATATTTTGGACAAGACTGCATCTGATTGTTCCGCACCTTTAGCAGCACTTGTTGGGAATGTTATTTGTTGTCCCCAAGTGCACAGTCTTTTGCACATTTTCCAAGGCACTTACAGCCACAAGTCTGATATGCTTGTGCTAAACCAGAGTGATTCTGATCATTGCTTTTCAGATATTATTAGTATATTGACAAGCAGAGGTGCCAACAGCACTATTCCTGAACTTTGCTCTGTAAGACCATCAAATCTCACCGGTGGTTCATGTCTTGTAAAGGATGTTATGGAGTTTGAAAAGGTGGTGAATTCAAGCAAGTTAATAGGTGCATGTGATACCATTGATCCGCTTACAGAGTGCTGCAGGCCTGCCTGTCTACCTGCAATCATGCAAGCTGCATTTGCCATTTCACGAAGTAGGAATACTGATACCGAAATTTCGAGTATTTCAGGAGGTGCTACAAGTGTTAATGTTGTCAGCGACTGTAAAGATGTTGTTTATGCATGGCTTTCTAGGAAACTGTCATTAGAAGCTGCCAACACTGCATTTAGGATGCTTTCTAGCTGCAAAGTTAATAAATGTAAGTGTACGAATGCTTTTTTATTGTATCGTTTTCTGTTTTGATTGGCTTGATAGTTTACTTTTGTTTGTGCTGGAACCTTTTATAGTTGCAAAATATTTAGTTTTCTTTTATTTCAAAATGATTCGATTTGAAATGCTTATATTGTGTACCGGAAAAGGAAATTGTGAGGAAAATTACTCTTCAAGAGTTTAGCTGTTATTTATGTTTGGGTATGTAGTGCCTGAATATGAATTCTTGCATTGCTTGTCAGAGAACTAAAAAAATTAATGTTTCCTTTTCTTTAATATTTTTATATTTTTTATTATGCTCCTTTATGTTGTGGGCGGAAGTTCCTGCAGTTCTTACGCATCTCCTCTTGCTGTGCTTGTATTTTGATTCCAAAAAGAGAGGTGAGATTATAGCATCTGTATGAGTGCCTTTGTTAGCGGATTTCATTGTTTCCTTTATTTATGGTTTTCTAGTTGCCTTGGAAATTTCTTTTGTTGCTGGGACTGATCTGCCGTAATTCTACACTTGGATTTCTCATGTGATATTTTGCAGGTCAGCTTGATGGTAATTGTAGAAAATGTAATGAGAGTTGTAATGTGAAAAACTCTCAAGAACTTTCATTCTCTTCTTTGTACAAAAGGGAAATACAATTGCTAGAGGCATTATAAAATAAGAATAAATCAAAAAAAAGGAGAAAAAAGTAATTAGGGAGAGTTATCCTATAGGAAAGCACATAAATTACATTCTGTGTGCCTTAATTTAACGGGGTAGAGCTCTGATCTAATGACACAACCTCGATCCGTGTGTCTTGATCTAACGATACCGAGCCTCAACCTGTGCCTTAAGTTCTTTGTTATCATTACAGTATAAATTCAACACTCCCCTTCAAACTGGATGGTAGAAATCTACAATTCCAATTTTGCTTATGATAATTCTAAATGTCGGTTTACAGTGTCATTCGGTAAATATGTCAATAAATTGACTTTTTGTGGACACATGGAGTATAAATCATTCCACTTTCCAATTTCTCTTTTAGAAAGTTCTTATCAACTTTAACATGCTTGATACGAACATATTGTACAAGATTATGTGCAATATTCATGGCTCATTTGTTATTAGAATATAATTTAGAGGGTCTTTTCATTAGATTTTCAAATCCTCTAATGTAATTTTAACTCATAGAAGCTCACAAATTCTCTGTGTAATGATTCTAAAGCCGACTTTAACAGTTGATCTTGAAACTACATGTTTCTTGTTTCTCGAAGTTATGAGATTTCCTCCTAAGAATGTATAATACCCTGAAGTAGATCTTCTATCCACTGACGATCTTGCATAGTCTAGATTTGTGTATATCCTTCAACTTATAGGATATCATGCTTTCTGTATAAAATTCTTTTTCCTGGTCTTGATTTGAGATATCTGAGGATTCTATTAGTGGCTTGAAGAAGTGTTTCTTTAGATTTGTGCATGAATGACTAACTAGACTTACTGCAAATGCGTGGTCAAGTGGTCAAGACGAGTGTGAGACAATTAAATTAATTTTTCCACTAACCTTTGATATTATTCTTTATCTACATCTGCTCCTTCAGCAAGATCCAATTTTTGCCCTAGTTCAGTTAGAATTTCACTAGGCTTGCACTCTGTCATCTTCGTATTTTTCAGCATATTCATAACATATTTCTGTTGGGAGGGAAATATCATTTTTTTTAGATTAAACAACTTCTATTTTTCAAATTCTACAATAAGTCTTTTTCCGAGAGTTTATTTTTCCTAACAGTCGTCTCCTGTAACAATCAAATTGTTAACATACACAGTAATGATTAAGATTTTACCATCAATAGTGTTTTTATGAAGGATGCATGTTCGTCTTTACTCTGTTTATATCCTTTTCCTTCCATAGCCTTTGAAAATCTGCCAAACAAAGCTTCTGGTGATTGTTTTAGTTTATATAGGACATTTTTCACTCTGCATACATGATTCTTTTCAAAAGAGCTATCAAATCTTGGTGGTGGATTCATATAGACCTTTTCTTCGACATAATCATGTCAGAACATATTTTTAACATCATATTACTGTATGGACTACCCATAATTGGCTTCTAGGGATATCTGAATGCAAATAATATTCATTTTTTAACAAGAACAAAATTTTTTTATAATCAATCTCATATGATTGTGTCATTTTGCTACTTATCTGTATATTTTTCTATACAGTCTACTTCGTGTTTTATTGTGAGAATTCATTTGCATCCTACTATTTTCTTTCATTCTAGTAATTTAGTGGTCTTCTATTTACAATTTTTTTCTAATTATTCATCTCTTGTATCATGTCTTTCTTCTAATTTTTATTATCAATAAAGTTTGTGGAATGAAAGTATGTGTGATGCTGTTGTTGATTAAAAATGTTTTATGAGATAGAGAGAATTTATGAAATGAGTTGTATTGAGAGATTGAGATATAATTGAGTGGTAGTCATACCTTGTAATGGTTCCGAGTTTTGATTTTGCTGGAGATCTGGGTTGGACTTGTTGCTTCTTATATAGTGGCTACAAGTTCTGCTTTTGAAGGATTTTTTTGTTGCAGGAATCTAAAGATAATAGATATCATCATACTTATCAAAATGAGAATTCTCCTCTTGAAGATGAGTTTAAGTAAAGAAACTATGAGTTTCATAAAATGTGAATCCTGCTAAAGTGAATAACTTTTTTTGTGGGGGAATGATAATATTTGTACCATTATTATGCCGCAGAATATTTGATGAATATGCATTTGAGGGCTCTTGGGTCATGAATTTGAAGACTTATTTTAGGCGCAAGGCTAAAGGGCGGTTCAATCATTTGTTCTTTTTATTATTTGGTATAAATAAACTTATTATGTTTAGGCCTAGGCATGCTTGTTATTGTTGTTTGGAGTCTTAGAAGTTAGGGTTTGGGAGAGCACGCTTACCTCTCGAATTGTAGGTTGTTATATGTTATTATTTGAGTTGAGGTGCCTGGATTATCATAGTAAAGCATTAGTTTGCTCTATAATGCCTTTGAAAACTTGTTGGATTCTTATCAAATTGCTATTAGTGCTATTGAGTTATGGAACAACCGAATTGAAGTGTAGAGTCGCTGCCTTTTTACCTAACTTGCGAAACAATTGTGATTTTGGTGATATGTGAAGCTAACGATGGATCGAGACGCCGCTTATGGGCCGTGGGTGATGGGATAGACCTTGCGATACAGTCATGATAGGAGCTAGATGGGAAGCCTCTGACAGAATTGCGTATCTTATGATACAGTCACAATAAGAGCTAGTTGGGAAAAGTACCACGATATCGCATTCAATGTGTTGCGGGAAGAATTAGCTGGGATGCAAATTTGGGGATCAAATCGTAAAGACACCTGTGCAGTTACAATTTTTTTTTTGGGTGGGAAGCGAACAACAAGATTGCGAGGTATAGACCGCATGAAAGTCGAAGGATCACGATGTATAGGAGTTTTTCACCGCTTTTGATCAAAACTGGCAATTGAGGTACGTAAAGGAGTCACGTCTCGCTTGTTATGGAAACTTGTGATCGGGATCTGCGACATACAAGAATTTAGATTGCAGGTTCTAGAGTTCTACTTGGTTTCCAATAGTTCCACAAAACCGCTTAGAGGAATTTCAGGATTGCGACGTTCATAATTTTGCTCATGTTGAAATTTTGAAACTCATGATTTCAAAGTAAAGGAGTTTCAAAATCGTTTAAGAGTAATGGCAACAAAAATGGTGGATGCTTTGGTGGAAAAACTAGTTGAAGAGGTTGCTAAATTAGATTTGGAATGGAGGAGTGTTTCTCAGCCATAGAGGAGAAGTTCACAGCCCTAGAAGGAATGATAAAGAAGATTGTGGAGTGTCACCCAACCCTTAGCAGCTTTCGGCGGGATTGAGCAATGACATCTGGAACGAACTTAAGCGGCAACCATCAAAAGAAATAGCGTGACATCGATGTTGCCTCAGGTGGATTTGGAGTTGTGGGATTGGGTGAAGGAATGGGAAGCGGATTCAAGCATCAACACTTGGAAGGATTGTCATGACATTCTGATGGCTGGAACAAAAGGAAATATCTAGAATGGCATGACGGGCGATTTAGGGCAGGAGAAGATTAGTTTAAAGGATTTCGATCTGAAACAGGGAACCATGGTGTTGGACCTTGGCAAAGGGTTGCATCAAACAACACTAATACCTTTGTTGCAACAACCTTTCAATTAGGCGTCAATTCAGGAGTTTGTGGAGACGAACGAGTTGATTATGGGACTTGTCAGACTTATGTAAGAAGGGAAATCAAGATGGGTCGAGGAAGGGAACACTCACCCTCGCGTCGTGGGAGAATGAATTTTGGGTGAGGGAATTATCGAGGAGACTAGCACGTAAGGAAACTGAAGATATCAATTTTTGAAGGAGATGATACCTTTGGTTGGGTTTTTCACGTGGAGAGATATTTTGCTGTTAATGAGTTGACAGAGGAAGAGAAACTGATGGCGATGGCCCTGTGTTTGGGAGGGAAGGCTCTAGTGTGATATCAATGGAGAAAACAATGTCAACCAATTCGAAACTGGGAAGGATTCAATGATCTATTATTAGGTCATTTCATAACCATTCGAGAAGGGGAATTTTGCATTGGTTTCATAGAATATAGCAAGAAATTGGAGATGTTATCTGGTCTTTTGAAAGGTATGTCAGATGAAGTGTTTGAAGATAACTTCATAAAAAGGTTAAAGCCAAAGATTTGAGCATAAATTTGTCTATTGGGACAGCAAGGATTAGGGGAAACTTGAAATTAATGCAATGGGTTGAAAATAAAAATACAATGAAACGTGATAATATGAGTAGCACAAATGGAGTGTCACACCGTAATTTTACAACCACGAGGATGCCAAAAACACAAATAGTGGGATTCTAGGAGAAGTTTCTATGGGACAAGAATAGTAATGACTAGGGGCGACATTTAAATATTTTGCAAAAATGGAGATTTAGGATAAGAGC